AGGTCAGAGTCTGCAGGATTTGGGAAATGAGTCACTTTTTTGTGTGTGTGCGCAAAGTTTTAAGCTAACCAGGCACAGAGCAGCCCTGAAGATTTGCATTTGATGGCTGGCATTGGGCGCCTCTTAGAGTTTCGCATGGGATACCTTGCCTGAAATTTCACCTCACATCCCAACCCAGTGTCTCCAAGGACATGAGGGGAGCTTGGGCTCCAGACGTGTTCGTCTCTCACAAGGAGGAGGGAAAGGAACACTTGTCCTCCTTGCAGGGCTGGATGGGTCCTCTGCAAGTGCTGGCAGTCTTACTGTCTCCATCCAGTTTTGGGGGAGTCAGCCCTCCAAATGGTGTGATGAGTATGTTGCGATTTGTTGGATCACTTATTTATAGCGCTTCTCGCTGCTGGGCTGGCTGCTGAGCACCTGCCTGCATTGGTGCCGGCTCGATTGTCTTTGTCGCTTTTAAGTAAATTTGGGAGTAATAACTCGAGCTCTGAAAGGCTGTTAAGGCCTGGGTTTCCTTGCCAGGCTGCCCTAGCCGTGCTGCCTGTGAAGTCAGCAGCTGGAGACAAAGCCTGTGGTTTGGGGGAGGGCTTTTCCAGCAGCCGGAGGAAGGCGTTTGTTCTGGGTCGTCATCCGTCCCCGCCACTGGCTTCCTTATGCGATCCTGGCCAAGTCCCTTCAGTACTTGACGCCCATATCCTCCCAAGTCTGCTTGTTGGTCCCATCCCAGGGCGTTTTCACCGGCGGCTGGAGCACATGGGTATTCCGAGAAGGGCAGTAGCTGCTTTGAGGAGACAGGATTCAGGCTCTTTCCAGGTTTCTGAGGGGAGTGGCAGCAGATGTTTGTGTATAAGTCACACCTGTTAACGAGGTGCTGGGAATACAGTGTTGGTCTTGGATGTGGCACCGGACGGGAATTCAATCTTGGCAGGGGAAGAGTTATCTCCAAAAGAAGTGGTGAGAAAATTCTCGCTTGACTTCCCTTCCCCACCTGCCTTTAAGTTCCTGAGTCATGGAAATTAAAATCTTCTTGGCATACGCCCATGGTTTGGGCTAGAGGGTGTGGAAGAAGCTATGATTGGATTCTCAAAGCCTGTGGTTGTGATAAGAACGCACTGTACAGGAAGAAACAAATGTTAACCTTACTGGAGAGTAGAAGGTTTGTTATCTGTAGCTTTTATCCAGCTGATACTCAAGTGAAACAGCAGGCTTGTGTCCTGCTGTGGCCAATTCGTAATTACTAGCTAATGTGGTGTTTGTTTTCTTGTGCTTTATTTGTAGGTTTGAAAGAAACTTTTGGACTGTGAATTGAGGCATTTGGTATGTAAATTTAAATTTTGTGCTTACCCTCCTAACATCCCCCCCTTCCCTTTACCATGTTGAAGGAAATGTTTCATTAGACCCAGCTGGAATTTGTTTTTAGGAGAGCAGCTGTTCTATAGAAAATACTGTATGTTCATATGCCACTGGTGAAGGAGTCAGGCTTGTGGGAGGGGGTTGATCATGAAGGAATTTGATGCTGAAGATGCACTTTCCAGCCCAAACTTCAGGCACCAAGAGATCTGGACTTTCCTGGGTGCTAGTTGGGAGGACACCTCTGACATGGCTCCACAGATGTTGTCTTGGGGAAGGCTTTATGTTCCTCGACTAACCCAAGCCTTGTTCACTGGGAGAGACTGGGCTGTGGTGTGGGTAGCAGCCCAGCAGGTTAGATGAGTTCTACTCCTCGTTGCCACCACTGATTCATTAGGAAGCTGTGGACAGGTCTCCTCCAGAGTGGCCACTGCTTAAGAGCGGGAAAGTAGTTTGCAGGTGGGTGAGGGCTGGTGATCCACTGTGGCCTGTATTTTCCAGATGTTGAAATCCTTCACCTTCAGTTGGGATCTTAAGGCTTGTTTTGATTCCCGTGGCTGGTTTTACAGCCAGCCAGCAGATGAGTGAGGGGGATGGCTCCTAAGGAAGATCTGAGGGCTGGGACGTTGTGTTTGGAACTTCACGGAGATGAATACAAGTGGTGGTGGGAGGAGTGGGCTGGGGTGGAGCCGCCACGGGCGAGGCAGGGAGCTGGTTAGCTAATCCTCAGGAGGGTCTAGTTGCCTTCGCCCGCCGGCTTGCTGGGTGGGACTGAGACATGCCAGGTCTCGCTGTTTGCCAAGAGACTTCGCTGGGCAGCCTGGCAGGTGCTCACTGGGGTGCAGAGCTGTTTGCCTTGGGATCTAGGAGCTGGTGCTGTCCCTGACAGCAGCAGTTGGCCATCTGAGCGTATCCCAGAGCAGCAGCTGCCTCTTTGCTAGGTTTAGGGTACTCGCTTGGCTGCTTCTCCATTCCCATCCTCCTCCTGCTTCTGTCTCGAGCAGACTCAAGATGGCCTCGCCAGCAGACAGCTGCATCCAGTTCACCCGCCACGCGAGCGATGTCCTCCTCAATCTCAACCGCCTTAGAAGCCGGGATATCCTGACTGACGTCGTCATCATTGTGAACCGGGAGCAGTTCCGAGCCCACAAAACAGTCCTGATGGCCTGCAGGTGAGAGCCAGAGAATCAGAATTGAAAGGGGCTGCCAAGGCATTTGGACCTGTAATAGGATTAGAGCTGAGACCTTTTGCCTCCAGCGTGGTGCCCACACCTTTCTCCGAGCATGCCCATACCTCTCTCCTTGCATGCCCACATCTGCCAACATGCAGCCCATGGAGACAAACAGGAGCACAGCAGATGTGAGGCACATCCCTGAAGGCAGAGCACATGCTCTGCAGGGACAGGACAGGAGAGGGGAGGAGAAGATGCTCTACTGGGGTGAGCAAGTCCTCAGTGACTGTGGTGTCCCCTGCTGCTGCTATTTTTAGAGCTATTCCTATCCAGCTCTCAGGCTGCTGGTTGCACCAACCTTTCTTGATTTCTTTTTATCCCAAGCCTAGTGGTGTCTGAAATCCCTTTCCTGCTCCTAAGATTGCTGGAACTGCTTCCTAGTAAATGCTAATTAGTATCCCACCATAGCCTAGTTGAATTACAGCAGATACTTTCCAGGGTCTCCTGCTGACAAGGTAAAAAGATTTGGAAAGTCAAGGTTTGACTGTTAAGACATCTGAGGAGTGTTTTGCCAACGTTTCCTTGGGTTTTATTTCCCTCCTGGTTCAAGAGTGAGTGTGAGTGCCCCGAGAGGTTTCTGAAAGAAACGAGTCACAATGGGAAGGGGGTGATGGTAAGAAAAACAACAGCGGAAAAAAAATAAAAAATAAATAAAAACCCAACCCCAAACCAAGGGGAATTTCTAAATGGAGGCAGTGGGGAGTTGTTGAGCAGGTGAGATCTAAAAGCAGGCTGTTCCAGTTGGGAAAAGTGCAGTGCGGAAGACGCTTACTAAGCTGAGAAACCAAGCTTGATAATAAGGGGGAAGCTCAGGGAATTCTGTAATTGCCTCCTCCTCCCTTCCCATTCACGAACCCCTCGGTGCTCAGGGATTTCAGACAGATTCTCCTTTCTTCCTCTGAACTGTCATAATACTCCTCTTCTGTCTCCTCTCTGCAGTGGTCTCTTCTACAGCATCTTCACTGACCAGCTCAAGTGCAACCTGAACGTCATAAACCTGGACCCTGAAATTAACCCTGAGGGGTTTTGCATTCTCTTGGACTTCATGTATACATCCCGCCTGAACTTGAGGGAGAACAATATCATGGCTGTGATGGCCACAGCACTGTACCTGCAGATGGAGCATGTGGTTGATACCTGCCGAAGGTTTGTCAAGTCTAGGTGAGTGCTGTGAGTGAACTTCGGAGAGCCCGGGACAATGTGGTCGGGTGGGAGTGGGGAGAACTGACAAAGTATCTGCAAACTTATCCTTATGGGCTGGAAATGACTGTGTCTCCCTCCTTTTTGCCTGGTTCCAGTGAAGCAGAGATGGTATCTGCTGTGAAGGCCCCAAGAGAAGAGTTTTTGGCTGGACGGATGCTGAGCCACCCAGAGGTGATGGCTTATCGGAGCAGAGAGGTCTCGGAGAACGGCATGCCTCTCCAAAATGGGTCCCTCTGCAATGGGAGGGCCTTTGCACCTGGCTTGATCAATAGTTTGTCTGGATCCCCCATTTCCTACCACGGATACAGCCCTCTCCCTCTAAATAGCTTCCTTGTGGATGATGAGTTGCGGGAGATGAGGATGCCTCTCTCTGAACTCTCGAGGGCAGGTGCTTTCCCCAAGGAGAGGATCCTGCCATGCGACAGCTCCAGGACAATCCCCACCGAGTACATGAGAACCATTACCGACATCTCGGCCAACATGTGCCATGCCACCATCTATGCTCCGAAAGAAGGTGCTGCTGAAGAAGCCAGGAGCGACATGCACTACAACGTAGCCTCTGGCCCCAAACCCGTTGTCCCTTCGATCCGGAACAATCCCTATTTCTCTTGTGACAAAGTGGCCAAAGAGGAGGAGCGGACCTCTTCAGAGGATGAGATCAGCCAGCACTTTGAGCCCACCAACACCCCCCTGGACCGCAAGGGACTTATCAGCCCTCAGAGCCCCCAGAAGTCAGACTGTCAGCCCAACTCGCCAACCGAATCCAGCAGCAGCAAGAACGCCCGTATCGGTCAGAACTCTAGCTCCCTCTTCACCAAGAGCCCCACAGATCCCAAAGCCTGCAACTGGAAGAAGTACAAGTTCATCGTCCTAAACTCTCTCAATCAGAACACCAAGCAAGACAGCACTGACCAGAATGAAATGGGAACCCTCTCTCCTCGCACCTACATGCCAATGTCCACTTGCCAGCAGTCCATGGAGCCGGAGCATCTCAACGTGCAATCACCCACCAAGATGAGTGTGAATGGAGAAGACTCTACTATCCCACAAGCAAGCAGACTCAACAATATCGTTAACAGGTGAGAAGATTTCCCCCCCTTCTCCACCCCTCGAGACAGGATTCCCTGCATTGTTGGTGAGGGTTTGGAAGTGTGTGAAATAGCTGTAGCACTGGGCTGGGGGACCATGAGCAGGTGGAAGCCTCTGCATTTGGTGGAACACTGCCAATGACACTGGCTGTGTGCCAGCTGTCCCTCGCCTGGACTGGTGATGGAATTGGGAACACTGGGGCAGGAATCCCTGGCTCACCTTGGCAGCTCTGAATGGTTTCTGGAGCCTCGATTTGTCCAGCCTGGTTTTCACCAGCCTCCCTGTGCCTCAAGCTTTTGGTTGGCCATAAGCATTTGGAACTGCCAAACTAGCAGGGAACAGTACACTGTCCTCTGGCCCCGGATGTTCCTAGAGAGCTGTGAGGTCATTTAGTGATGGGCACTCGAAGGATTGAGGCTCAAGGATCTGTTGTTGATCAGGGCTATGCTGTGCGTCTCGCCACAAAAGTGTCCCCATAAAACGTGGCTGTCCCTTGTGTCTGGAAGGGTGCAAACAAGGGCCCAAGTAGCTGAAAGCACAGCAAGAGCCTTCTCACGGCTGTGTGCATTCCTCTCCTCCCACAGGTCTCGGGATGGGTCCCCTCGGAGCAGCGAAGGACAGTCCCCACTGTACATGCATTCGTCGAAGTGCAGCTCCTGTGGCTGCCAGTCCCCACAGCATGCTGAGATGTGCCTTCATACCCCTGGCTCAAATTTTGGAGAAGAGATGGGGGAAACCCAGTCTGAATACTCTGACTCCAGCTGCGGTGAGTCTTGCGTCACTGGTTGACATTTTCAACCGGCCAGCAAGGGGGTTGTGCAGTCTGAGGACCTGTCAACCCAGTGCCCTGTGTCCAAACAGGCAGTCAGACCTGTCTCTGGTGCTGGTGGATCGTAGGGTGCTTTATGGTCCCCTCCTAACTGGCTGACCAGCTGTGTGCATGCATGTGAGGGACATGCACGTGGGAATTGCTTCCTCTCTTCCCCAGCACCATCCAGGTGCCTTGTGCAGGGAGTTAGTCACCTGCTGCAAACTTGGCAGCTAAGGACAGGAAACAAAGTGCACCCCACCCCACCAGAACCACAGGAGAACAAGCTTGGCAGATGTAATGACCCTAATGAGGATTGGGCAAGATGGTGTGTCTTACGCATCCGTCATGATATCTTTGTTATCAGGGAGCCCAATGTGCACATCTGGAGAAATGCAGATAATGAGGCTTACAATCTTGTTGCAAAACTCCACAAGCCCAGAGACAAATATCTGTGCACCCATCTGCCTGTAGCTCAGAGTGGGGGAATGCAGAATTGTCACCTGTGATGTGGACAGAGATCCACAGAAGGAACCCCACTGTGGTGATCTTCAAAGCTACATAGAGCATCTAAGAGTTAGGCACCCTCTGACTGAGGGAACCTGCCTTGCCATTCAGATGATGGTCTTCCCATGCTCAAGGAAGCCATCTGTGCATGTAAAGGTTTAAGACCTCCAAAGGTGCTGGAGTTACTCCAGAGCTGAGCATCCACCTTTCAGAGGATGTCTGATTACTTGGGTGCTTCAGTAGACCTCTTTGAAAGATGTCCAGGTGAGATGCCAACTCCTTGGAAGCAGCTTGTGTTGCACTGAAGGAAAGATGGCTTGTCACGACTTCGGTCTCTCAAACCACAAGGCTGTCAGGAGGTAGTGGCATGCTGCAAGCGCCATTGACCACAAACCTCTGTCTGCGCTCAGCTTCTTGTTTCAACACTTGCTCTGGCTGCCCCTCTCAACCCCAAACCCATCCTATGACCCATCGTGGAGCTGGCCTGTGCATTGCCCATCTCACTGCTCTCCTCTCTGCCCTCCCAGAGAACGGAGCCTTCTTCTGCAACGAGTGCGACTGCCGGTTCTCCGAGGAGGCCTCTCTCAAGAGACACTCTCTCCAAGTCCACAGTGACAAGCCCTACAAGTGTGACCGCTGCCAGGCCTCCTTCCGCTATAAGGGCAACCTTGCCAGCCACAAAACTGTCCACACAGGTACAGTGTTGGCCACAGGTGCACCTTCCTGGGGAGGCTGTGGGTTCTGGGGCGCACAGGCTTTTACGGCTGGGTCTTTCCCGGGTGCAGTGTCCCCTGCTCTGTGCCACAAGCTGTCCCCGATGGGAAGGGCAAGGAGCTCTTCTCAGTGCTGCCAGGGAGCCCTCGGGCAGAGCAGCCAATCTGGGAATGGGGGAGATGCTGCCTGGCCTGGCAGGCAGCTCCTTTGGTGGGGAGCACTGGTCACCACCATTTCGAAAGGCATCTGACGAATTGCATGGCTGGGAGCAGATCGAGGCCTCCAGGTTACTTTGTGGTAGACTTGAAAAAAATAATAATTAAAAATTATGAAAAGGACATTTATGGAGAAGTGTGGGATTTTTTTCCCCCTACATCCTTGAAATCCAGATCCTATCTAGCCTGGCAGAAACTCTGCTGATGGGAAAATCTGTGAATGGATGGCCTCTGTGAATCAGCACAATGAAAGCTGAGAAAGGAAGGGCATACTGAGGGTTTAGTCACTTGTTCACAGACTTAGGGATTTCTTTTTTTTGTGCTTTTATTAATGCTTAGTATGTCACCGTCCCATTCACCAGGTGGGGAAGGGAAGTCAGTGCTGATGACTCGGTGCTCCTGCACTGAATTAGGTGCAGGTTCCCACAGTCTCATCTGAGTTCCAGGAGGGCTGCGCACGTGGATGAGACCAAGCAAGTGCCAGGGCAGGGTCCAAGGGTGCCTGGGGTTGAACCCCAGAAACAAAATAAAAAGACAGGAAGGGATAGACGATGGCTGTTTCCCGCTCCTTGTTGAGCCCATCTTCCACTGTCCTAAAGAAACTGTTTTCAGTGTTTTTGCGGCTGTCCCCATAGTGGGGGGCCAGCAGCGTGACTGAAACCTAATAATGACTTGGGAGCTGGGTTGCTGGGTGTGCTTGGCTTTCTGCTCCATCAGCTCTTTTCACTTCTCTAAAAAGGTGATGAATGGCTGAGGCAGGATGTGCTGGGGACTGTGAGGAGCCCCAAGGGAGCCAGGTGGCCCTGTGTGGCTGAGTGATGGCTGTAGGGAGACATAGGTGCCAGCCACTGTCAGGGAGCCAGGAGGAGCGATGCTGTTAGTCCTTGCTGGCAGAACTTTCTCCCCTGCCCTGAAGGCTGCAGCTCCCAGCCTGAAAAAGAAAAGGTACCCGCAGTGCCTGGGTACCTCCTGGGCTCACTTACTCTGGGAACACCCAGATGTCCTGGCTGATGCTGCTTGTCCCCAGCCATCGTCAAAAGAGACAGGAGTCAGGGCTAGTGCTTCATGCCATGGGGTCTGACACCTGAAGGCACTTAGCTTTGGGGAGTGCCATGGATCATGGGGGCTGAGCATGCCTGTCCCTAACCCCTCACCCTTTCTTTTGGGCTCTGCAGGAGAAAAGCCGTACCGCTGCAACATCTGCGGGGCACAGTTCAACCGGCCAGCCAACCTGAAGACCCACACGCGCATCCACTCCGGAGAGAAGCCCTACAAGTGTGAGACCTGCGGGGCCAGATTCGTCCAGGTACTTCTGGCCGCGGGGACCTGCGCTGCCTGGGCGGGTGGGACGCGGATGGACCTCCTGCCTCAGCCCAGTGATGCCTTGTGGCAGGGAGGAGGCTAATGGGTCATGCTTTGGGCAGATCTTCCCAGAGTGTTGGGGGATGAACAGGGGCCATGTGGGCTAGTTTGGCTTACTGCGAGGCCTGACTGCTGGTTTTGTTTCCTCTCCTCCATTTGTTGTTAAGGACTGGAGAGATCAGACCTCAGACACGTGTGGTCCTAGAACCCAGTAGACCATAAAAAGACCACTGGGCAGCATGCTGCTTCCACAGGGATGTCCTTGCTCCTGGTGAGATGCCCTCATCCCTGGGGCTGTCCTCACCCAGAGCTGTTCTCCCTAGGTGGCCCACCTCCGTGCTCACGTGCTCATTCACACCGGGGAGAAGCCGTACCCCTGTGAGATCTGCGGCACACGCTTCCGGCACCTGCAGACCCTCAAAAGTCACCTTCGAATCCACACAGGAGAGAAACCGTACCATGTGAGTGACCCTGCTTGGTTTTGAGGGGGGCTTTCAGCTGGGGCTGGAGGAGGATGCTGTGAAACCTGGGAGGCTGGAAAGACACCAGGGGCATTTGCATGGGCTGGTTGCAGCCAATGCCCTTCCGAAGCCTCATGAGGACCCACAGCAAGGTCACATCCCTGTTCCTCCTGCCCCATCCCACTCTTGTACATTAGCTGATGCTGTTGTGGTATTTTGTCATGAATGACTCTGTTGGAAACGCTGATGTGCAGCCCAGGCTGGGTACATCTTAGGTGCTCTTCTCTTCTTCCATGCTACCTAGAAGAAGATCACACTTCCAGAAATAGCTGTGGTTTAAATTAGAGCCACCCGCTATGTGGGGATGGGGGAAAGGAGCAGACAGCCTGGGTATGGGTGCCAGTAGTACCCATGCAAAGTCAGCAGTATTGCTTGCAGCCCTGAGGGCTCCCAGCTCTTTGCTGAGGCTTTTCTGGATTTCCCCATCCATTAGAGAGGGAATCAGAGCAGGGGTTATCATCCAAATGTCTCTCTGGAGCCATCCATCTTGGTGGGGGTCAAAAGGACCTCCCAAAATAGTCCGGTGGCTGGTTTGAGTGTGTAGATAAGGAACTTGGCACCATGTCCATCAGAGACAGGTTCCTCAGCCTGTGTGCATCCCATGAGCTGAGACATGCTGCTGAAGCCCGGGGTGGGGTGCCGCTGGGTGCTGCTTCTCCCACCACATCCCCACATCTCCCTTGGCCATTTGTGTGAGGGCCGGAGCATCCTGGGGTAGCTGGCAGAGGAGGGGCATTTGCGGCGGGACCGCTGCCCTGGAGGGCAGGACGTGTCCCCCACCTGCCCTGCCGGCCCGTTTCACACCCTCTGCCTTTGCCTCTTGTCCTGCAGTGTGAGAAGTGCAACCTGCATTTCCGCCACAAAAGCCAGCTGCGGCTCCACCTCCGGCAGAAGCACGGGGCCATCACCAACACCAAGGTGCAGTACCGCATCTCTGCCAGCGAGGTGCCCCCGGAGCTCCCCAAGGCCTGCTGAAGGCAGAGGCTGGCCAGGAGGAGGTCGGCTTGGCGAGGGGAGAAGCTGTCCAAAGGATACTTGCAACACTTTAGAAGAAAACAGAGAGGAGAGAGGAAAAAAAAAAAAAAAAAGTCATCACATGATGGAGTGCCTCTAAACCCATAGAGCAGATAGGCAGGAAAACGTTAGAAATTAAGAAAAAAAATTACAAATACACGGGTTTTATTTTTCCCAGTTATGTGAAACGAAGAGAAAAATAAAATTATTCAGATCTTACTGTATATAAAACATGAAAAACCGAAGATAGTCATTTGAAATGTCTGTGCAGTGGAGTGTTGATAAACTCTGGAGTCTAACCTTCACAGCCTTGGCCGTTTGAAGATGAGGAATGTAACGTTGATTTACGGGAACAGATTTTTTTCTTTTGTATGCAAAATGTGTGTTCTTTTAAAGAGAAAGTATGCTATTAAAGAGAGGGCTTTAACTTTTTTAACCAAAGGTGAAGGAATCTATGGCAGAGTTGTAAATATATAGA